CTGTCGCCCAGACTGGAGTACAGTGGCCGCTCCCAGCCACCGCAGCCTCGACCTGCTGGGTTCCGGCGATCCTTCCACCCCAGCCTTCCAAGTAGCTGGAACTACAGGCGCGCGCTACCACGCCCAGCTAATTTTTGATTTATTGTAGAGATGAGGTCTTGCCAAGTTGCCCAGGCGGGTCTCGACCCATGGGCTCAGACAATCTACTCGCCTCGGCCTCCCAAAGCACTGGGATTACAGGCTGAGCCACCGAGCCCGGCTGTTTCTTAGGTTTTCTAAGGAATGTTTTTACAGTGGCAACCTGTAGGGCCTGACCTCCCCTGCTGTCAAAGCACCCGCTGAATCTCTGGGCTGGGTGGACATGTAAGTTAGTATTTTCCAGGCTTAACTGAGGGCCCAAGCTGGGCCAACCAACTGTGTTGTGTGTGCTGGAGGGGACTCTTAACTATTGCTGTCTGATTCTCTTCCTCAGGAGCAAGAGCAGCTCTACCTGAGGTCAGGTGTGGTGTCCTCTGCCACCTTTGAGCAGCCGAGTCGGCAAGTGAAGCTGTGGGTGAAGATGGTGACTCCGCTGATCAAGAACTTCTTCTGAGAATAGTCAGGTGCTGTCTCTAGTGCCGCCTCTCAGCACAGTGTCCCTGTGCATGAGCAGGGTGGTTGTTCTGATTGCACCTGAGCTCCCGGGGCTTCCTGAAGGAGCTCTGAGGGTTCTTTCACCCCCTCCTTGGTTAAGCACAGAGCAGTATCTCTAGGGTCATGGATGGCTATCTTGTTTGCAGCCTGAAGCGAAATTAGGTAGCCTGTTCGCCTTCCATCAGGTACTGATTCTACTGAGTCCCAGGCCACCTCTGGCGGGGTCTGTAATGTATAGTTTTCTTCTAAGTTCCCTTTCCTGGGGCAAGGGCATGAGGGGGCAGAAAGGCAGATTCGACTCTTTCTCCTGGAAGCTGAGAATGCTGCTGTAGGAGGTGGGTCATGTAGGAGGAGGCAGAAGCACTCTTGGTCAGGAGAGCAACACTGGCTTGCTGCCCTGGCCAGCTGCAGCTCACAGGGGTGAGATGTGGGTGGAGCCAGACCCCGGGGCGGCTGCCTTGACGTCTCCCTGATGTTGCTGTGACGCACAGTTACAGCCATGCGATGTTCTAGACTCTGGCAGTTGAGTAACAGTACAGGCTCTGCCTACTCAGAAGGAGACTGCCTCTTCAAGAGAGGTGCTGGGGGGTCCCATGATCACCTGAGCTACATTTTGGCTGCCAGGATGCCTGGAGGTGGGGTGTCTCTGGAGCGACCCTCTGTGTTCCAGATCCCTGGCAGCTCTGACAGCACTGCAGATGACCCCTGTGGATCAGGCTTCCGAGACTCCCGGGTCTGGGTGTTGTGGGGCTCTGCGGGTTTGAATGGTTGGACTTTTGGCTTGTGGGAAGGGAGAGCGAGATGTCAAAGATGCAGGTGTGGTGCTGGTGTATGTCTTGGTGCTGGCACTGTATGTTTGCAGTGGGGTTCCCTTTGCTCTTGTCACCTTGGTTCTCCTCTCAGCCTCATTTTTAAAAATGTGTGTTTCATCATGTAGTGTTTCCTCATTTAAATTACTTTTTTTTTGTTTGAGTTGGAGTCTTACTGTCGCCCAGGCTGGAGTGCAGTGGCACGCTCACAGCCACTGCAGCCTCAACCTGCTGGGCTCAGGCAATCCATCCACCTCAGCCTTCCAAGTAGCTGGAACCACAGGCATGCACCACCATGCCCAGCTAATTTTTTGATTTATTGTAGAGACAAAGTCTTGCCATGTTGCCCAGGCTGGTCTCGAACCCCTGGGCTCAGGCAATCCTCTCGCCTCAGCCTCCCAAAGTGCTGGGATTACAGGCATGAACCACTGCACCCAGCCTCAATTACTTTTAATTTTACTTAAATAAAAATGTACAGATCTAGAGAATAAAACAGTACTAGAAAAGACCAATGAAGTACAGCTGTTTCCTGCCTTCCCTTCCTTCAAGCAGCCACTTTTGACTCATTTCACACATGTCCCTGTTTCTAAATAATATGTGATACTACTATTTTTTTCCCCTAAATATAGACTTAAAAAAAATTTTTTTTTTGAGTTGAAGTCTCACTCTGTTGCCTAGGCTGGAGTGCAGTGGCATGCTCATGGCCACCCCAGTGTCGACATGCTGGGCTCTAGTGTTCCTTCCACCTCAGCCTTCCAAGTAGCTTGAACTACAGGCACGTGCCACCATGGCTGGCTAATTATTTGATTTACTGTAGAGAATGCGGTCTCACCTAGTTGCCTGGGCTGGTCTGGAACCCATGAGCTCAGGCAATCCTCTCACCTCAGCCTCCCAAAGTGCTGGGATTATAAGCATGTGCCACCGTGCCCAGCCTTAAAAAAATTAATTTGGGAGGCCGAGGTGAGTGGATTGCTTGAGCCCGCGGGTTCGTGACCAGCCTGGGCAACTTGATGAGACCTCATCTCTAAAATAAATAAATAAATTAACTGGGCATGGTAGTGCATGCCTGTAGTTCCGGCTGCTTGGAAGACTGAGGCGGAAGGATCACTAGAGCCCAGCATGTGGACGCTGGAGTGGCCATGAGCATGTCACTGCACTCCAGCCTGGGCGATGGAGTGAGACTCCAACTCAAAAAAAAAAAAAAAA